GGGATACTTGGTGTTTGGGCACTGCAGGGATACTTGGTGGTTGGTCACTAAAGTCAGCTTCCAGTCGGGCGAGGACAACATCTACTTTAAAATCTAACAACCCCACTGCGAGGGTGGGGAAAAACCGGATTTTTGACCGCGCGCAGGGCCCACACACCTGGTTGCAAGCTAACGCTTGATAAGCAACAAGCTGGCCCCGGAGGCTTTCATGACTGTCACTCTGTGTTTCTTTCTGATCGCAAAGGGAGAAATGTGGCTGGCCTCGAAGGAGGATCCGATTACCGACAGGCACACCTTGGGCCTGGCGGAGATGAAGGATCTGCGCCCAGCTCCATTGGTAGCTGTTGCTTGTCTGGGGCCAATGGCTGGTAGATGTCGTTGACCGAATCTGCATAAGCCTGAGGTTTCTCTTCATGCGACTGGGCCTTGCCTCCTCAGATATGCACCTGCTCGAACTTTGTGACCAGAGACTGCAGGTCTCCAGCTGGCATCCGCGGATCCGTCCTTGCTTTATGTGCTTCGTTTTGTTTGATACAGGCGGCGCCTCTTTGGAGTCTGAGGTTAAGGCTTGGTGTCCAGGTTAAACCACTGCTGGAAGATGCCTAGCAAACAAGAAGACAGAGGCCACCATTTGTGGAGAGCGGGACAGGAGCCATCCTGAGCTATACCTCTCAGCCAGGCGTTCAACAGGGACTCGAAGCACCTTGTGATCTTTGGAGCGGAGTCAAACAGGTATGAAGGAGAGAAGTTATAGAGTTCCTCACCCCGAGGCAGCGGGCCGTCTCGGGCGTGAACACCTTGCAACTGGCATTAAGCGGCCATCCGAACCTAAATGCAGTAACAGCACTCGGCATGGGACAGGCTCAGGGCATTCATAGACGATTAACGTCAAGACCTCAAGACTCTCTGCCTTCTGAATTGCTTTCACATGTTGCATGTTGCATCTAGGGGCACAGCTGTCGTGATCCCCACCTCCACGCTGAGAGTCTGTGAGCGGCCAATGACTTTCGTGGCCGCGCCACCTTGGTGAGAAGCTGCAATGCAGCCAATCTGCCGAGGCAACCCGGGGCGGAGCAGCTGTAAGTCGGGAGTGTCCCAACTGCAGTTTCTTGTCGGTTTTCGGGTAGGCCGGGGGGCGGCGGGGGGTTTGGCTGGTTGTTCGGATTTCGCGTAGGCTGGTTCGAGGCCAAACATCCGGGAAATGGGTTTGTGTTGGTGGGGCCGGCGTCGCTGTTAATTATCGGTTAAATTAAACTGATGCAAATTCGAACGATCACTCTTGTCCAACCAGCAGGCAGCATGAATCAGAGACGCTAGCGATTGCAATGAGAGGGTATCAGGCGCATCCTCGAGGGTATGTTCCGTGAAGCCCTTAACAGCTTTAGCGTCAACCTACAGCAGCCCGGAGCCTGAAACCCTGAACTTGCTGAGCGGTCAGCTGGTTGAATCTCTTGGGCTTGCCTGCTAGGGAAACATTACGGAGATGGGTGCGCGCACACAGGGTCGCAGGAAAATAAGCATTTCTTCAAAGTCAAAAGCTTCCAGGAATCGGTCATTTGAGGGTCGCAAGTCGTGGATCCTTCTTCTCGGAAGACCGCGACTTGCAAAAACAAAAAGGTTCGCCTTTTCTGAGCCCGGGGATCTGGAGATATCCAGAGTGTATGTAGTGAAAGGCCTGCGCAGTGGGACTTGCAACTCGATTTGTGCTTGGAGGCCGTTTACAACAGTATGTCAATGCCTTAAAGTGCCGGACCTGCCCTGCATGCCTGCATGATTCCCCTGAGGTGCTGGAGCTGGGGCACGGGCCGCTCCCCACGTTGCAGAAGTAGAACATGTCCTAACGCTTCTCTGAGTGACATTCAGCTGCTAACGGGATGCACTCCGTGTCATTTGGCCTGGGCCTTGGCGTTGTGAACATCCACCTGCCAGTCTGAGCTGTCCGGGCTAGTGAAAGTGTCTGATGTGTCAGATTACTGTCGGGCCATTGTCACCAGTACAGGGATGGTGTCCGTGGCCAGAGCACTGCCCATGTTGAATCTGACGAATCAGAACAATGATGGTCAAGCACTGCTGCGACCTATGTCAGCCTGCCCGACCTCTTTCGCTAAGCTGACTGCGCTTGCTACCTCCCTTGATCCAGTTTCTCATCGCTATCAGCTTGACGCCGGAATGAACACATCGCTGACAATGCTGAGATCTCAAGATGTTGAGTGCGAACCTTTTCCCCGCCGGACTGACAGAAAATGCAAGCTTGCGTGCATCGGGCCAGGCATTTATAGCTTGGACATAATGCAAGGGCACACCCAGCTTGCAGTGCACAGCCATCTCGGAAGCATTGGCAACATGTCGTTGCCAACCTGCGAACGCATCAGTTTCGTGCTGAATATGACACGCACGCATACTCGGCCTTAACTCGGTGGCGCACCCGGCGGCGCTCCGGGCGGCGCTCCGGGCGGCGCTCCCGGTGGAGCTCCCGGTGGAGCTCCCGGTGGTGCTCCCGGGGCACCCGGGGCCTTGGGCGCACCTGCAGGGTCCAAGGCTGAAGAGAGCAGGTCTCACATATGCCGTGCCTGGCAGCTGTGGCAAGTTCTCCGGCCTCATTCACTCACGCTCACACATGCTGAGATTGGTCAAGTTCAGTTCTGGCAGACTTGAAACTCAGGGTCTGGCTGCTGCCGAGGTTTCTTGGCGAAGGGGTACTCTACCTGCAGCTCTGAACAGAAGCTTCTGACCAACATAAGAACTCTGCAACTCACCTGTGCCCATTCTTTGCCCATGCCACGCATTGCCTCCGGCAAAAGCACATAAGACAATCCCGAGTGCAGTCAGCGTGTGCTGACTGGGCTTCCGGCTGCGTAGGTCTCCTCATCATAGCCCCGCAACACGTCTTTTCGCCAACCGCGCTCTCGCGCCTGACACATACACACCCACTTCATGTGCGAGCTGCAGAGAAAATTACGGACCTCTCTCTCTGCGAGTGTGGTCTCAAAATCCCCGTAATCACCTGCATGTGGCTTGGCGCAAGTTAGCCGTTCGAAAGATAGCGCTATCTGCCAGATGGCCTTCCCCAGGTGGAACAAAGATGCCGAGCACGAAACCTCCGACCTCAATAACAAAGGAATTTAACCGGCGACGCCAACTGGGACAAGGGAGCGGAGCGTTACGGCAGGTTGCATACTACTTTCCCCGAATCTGAGAGACTAGACCTGCTACGGTTCTTGAAGCCTTACGGTCCGGGATGAGGGCTAAGGGCTGTTCTTCCACTCTTCGGTGGAATTCCAATGAAGCGTTATTCGGCCAAATTTCGGCAAATTGATCCTCACATATCCTCACATTTCGGGCTGGCGCAGGGCCCGCTTGTTTTTGCTGCCTTACCAACAGCCCGGAGAAGCAGGTGCCCCCGCTCCCCCTTGGAAAGGAAACGTTTCAAGAACTGGTACCGAACCATTTTGAAATCAGAAACCACAACCGACCCACGCCGTTGAGCAGAAACAAGCTCAGAAAAGCTGAAACAATTCATGTTAACAAAGTTGGGAGAGCTTCGCCTTTTCTGTGGGGGCGTGGCCATCGCCACGCCGATGATGGCGAAAAGGCTAATCACCGGTGCAAACATGATCGCCTGAAACCTGGAATGTGGGACCATGGGCACTGACTTCATCGAGCAAAACTTGAGCTGTCGACCCTATCCCTCCGTCGCTTGCAGCAACGGCAGGCAACGCACCGCCCAGCACCTCGGGCAAGCGCTCTGAGCTTTTTGACTCGCGAAATCATGTGCAGAGTGCTGAGCCGAAGGCCGCAGGTGCCACCAGAGACAACCGGAAGGGCACACTGGGAGGGCTGACAAAGGTGATCACCTGTGATCAAACTTTCGCGAAAAACTTGGAATGATGAATAAACTGACAGGATCACCCGACGAGAAAGTGCCAGCGCCAGAATTGCAACCTTAACTTGCAAGCGTGCAGCACATCGTGTTTGACAACGCCACAAACAATTTGCTACCCAGATGATGACGACGTAAGCCGTGCAGCGATTTCCACTCAGACATACGACATACGGTTTAGGCTGAATGGCTAAAAATCCTGCACAACCTTAAATAGGATACTATGGCATCATAACTCCAAAAGTAAAAAGCGGATTGCTTGGCGAATTTGCGAGGATGGAATAATGTGATGGGTTCGGAGACATTTGTAGGGCCCTTCGGATGGTATGGGGTGCGTCATCGAATCGATCACAACTAGACATTAGCTTGAGCCCCAAGCTTCGACCTATTCCGAAGCTTCATGCGCACACACTTTTCTTTTTTTGTGAACCATTTCACGTCAATTCGAGTGCGTGATCTGCCTTGCGCCGGGGGATCACAGCTCATGCTTCAATCACAATCCTCAGCAAGCTGTTTGCGCCTGCGTGAAAACTGACTGCTAAAATCCTGGGGCTTACGAGCTCTCAGCTTGCCGAACTTTTCCCTCTGCAAGCCCTCATGGTCCGAAAAGGATCATGTTTAGATCTTCGCCTGGCCGAGTCGTGCTCCAGCGATGTGCGGGTCGGCCTTGCCCAGAGCCCTCGGCCTTTGGCAAAGCGTCGGCCATCAGGTCCTCCCCTGCAACATGCAGACTGCACGCCATGAGAAAAGATGACAACTCGTGCCCAAGCTGCTCTCAAAGCACAATGCCTTGTCCGCATTTCCAACGTCCTAAATTCTTTTTTCTGTCAAGGTCAATAGATCAGCCAGTGATGTCTGCGCACAACTGCCCTGGAATTTGAAGGGGCATTGTGTGCGCTTTCCAGCGTTTGGCCATTCCTGGCACTGGTTTGGAGAAACGAAACCTCACAACATGTTCCACGCTATTCCGGGTCGAAAGGCAACTTTGAATTTGGTCGCGCAGACC